TTTCTTTCTTTCAATGAGATTTCCTAGTTTCTAGATCCAACCAAGGAGCAATTACACTTCTCCATGAAATAGGTGATGATTGGCGCTGAGAGCAGGAGAAGAAGCACCAATGAGGAGCGGAGAATCCAAATATAGGGAGGTATTGTCTGACCTGGATCGAATAGAAAAAGATCAGAAAGGTTTTTGTGTCTATTCAGATATGACCAGAGACAGGTAGATTAATCAGCAGGTACACATTAACAAGTTCCCTATGGTTTGATGCTTTTTGGAAGAATGTGCAAATGTATTTAACAGTTTTCCACTCTGATTATAAATGTTAATGTGCATCATAATAATGGGTTTGATTTGAAGTAAAAATCAATGGTTATGACATACTCAAAGTATAACTTAGCTGGATGGAAGAACACATGTAACCTTTCATGCATTCTTCAGAAAAACATGAAGTGCCGAAAGAATTAAAACAAAATGGACTTGAGATGACCTAAGCCCTATTGCTAGAGGCTAGACACATAAATTATGAATATTTTTAACAGGTTGCAAAAGCATCACTCTTTGATAAGCTGCCTAACAGCAATGACCGCTCCCCACATCAAATGAGGGGGCGCCTTTTGCATGGTAGTGTGCAGCTCCCCGGATCTCAGTGCAATTCCTGGTAGTTCAAGCTGGCTTCATCCTCCCCAGGCTGGATACCTGGAGGTTCTGTGCCTACCTCAGCCAATCGCCCAATCCCGCCTGGGGAGGCGTTGCCAGGGGGTTGGCCAGGTAAGAGGAGGGACCGTCCTGCCCACACAACAGAAGGTGAATCTTACCTGCAAAGCGGTAGTCGGCTCCAGAGCTTCTCCCACCCTGCCCTCATTGGCAGGTATTGCCTTTCCCGTAGCAAAACGTCACAACTTTGGCGGTTTCAGGCCTTGGGCGGAATCCTTTCGTCTATCTTCCTAAATGGGGGGGGGGGTGTGAAGTGGTGATCCAGGCCCCTCCCTGTGGCGGTGATACCAGGGTTCCCCGTTAAAGGGGTCTTGATGAAGGCATTGGCCATACGCCTAGAGGTTGTCATTGCTCTCCCCTCCAAGGGCAGTGAAATGGGGAGCGGGCTCTCTGCTTGAACAGATGTTCCCCAGAGCCAGCCCAATCCCCACACATTCTGGATAACCCTGAAGTCTCCCAGATCCCTGGCTGGGGAATGGGAAGGATAAACACCCAGTGCCTGAGCCAAAGTCTCCCTACATCTGAAACTTAATAAAGTTGTGTCCAATTTTAATCCCATAGCATGTTGTCTTGAGTCATTATTCCGCTCGGGGGTTGCATGGGGTTGGGGGGACTCCACCTGTCCACGCAATATCTATTTTAATAGGCCATTGAACAGTGTTCCTGGAGAAGTGCCATCATCTGTATGCTATTGGCCAGGTCCTCCAACATCTGCTGCATAGGTGTAAAACACCACCTATTTCCGTTTAGATAAATATATGAATGTGCTCCAGGGAAGTCTGAACATGCTCCATGGCTATGATTAACTGTTGTGGTAGGGGAATAGAAATCAAATGGGTGGGGAATTAAATGGACTGTGTTGGAATATAGCATGACTGGGTAGTTGGAACTCTGAACAGGACTATCCCACCATGCAACATTCTCTTGCAGGTCCCTTCCTAGTGTGATCATTTCTACAACCTTACCTGGCTGGACAATCAGATTCTGAGCAACACTGAGGGCAGATGTCTTCTCTTGGTTCTTTGCATCCTTCTGCTGGTAACCACAGGAATATTGGCCAGCGTTCTTCGGTGATGCATAGACTAGGTATCGAGCATACTGAGATGTTGCTTTCTTGAATGAAACGGGAGCCCCATCTTTACAGAGGAAGAATCTGGTCACCACAACCTCTAATGGAGCCCTACAGAGTACTGCGATAATTTCCCCTTCAGGAACCAAAGTTGAATTCAAGAATAAATCAGGAGCAGGAAGTTCACCTAGAGAATAAACAAAGGGAAGAAATAAAGAAAGAGCATAAATGAATAAGTGAAAATGTAGTTAGCACTGTCCCCCCCCCCCCAGTAATTATTTGTTGTATATTGCCTTTAATTATTTCTTTTTGTGGAAAGTGGCATGCAAGTGTCCTACTCTGTTTTATTTATTTAAAGCATTTTAATGCCACCTCAATTTTTATTTAGAAATTTGAGGTTGTAAACTATTAATTTAATTTTGAAAATGTAAATAATAATAATAATAATAATAATAATAATAATAATACCTTTATTGTCATTGTACAACCTGTGTACAATGAAGTTAAACGAGCCCCCCCCCCCAACACTCAATCTCTTATCGAACAACACACCACCTTGCAAGTCAATTTCGCTATGTTATTTTCCGTTCAACAGCCTAACAGCCCACGGATAGAAGCTATTTTTTAGCCTGTTGATACGGCTGATTATACTTCTATATCTCCTGCCCGAGGGTAGAAGATTAAAGAGGTGATAGCCAGGGTGTGAGTCATCCCTGAGAATTTTTCTTGCTCTCCTAAGGCAACGATCCCTTGCAATGATCGTATGAAATGTATAGAAGATTAATAGTTAGGTGAGCAAAAATATCTTACGAGGCAATCCTATGTCAAGCTTCCAATAGGATGAATATTTTAGGACGCAGCAACTCTGAATATTGGCCAGAATTCTTTGACAATGCATAGACTATGTATCAGCATTTCGGAATATTGCTTTCTGGGATGATATAAGAGCCCCATCTTTACAGAAAATAAATTTGGTCAGCACAACCTCTAATGGACAAACACATAGTGTGAAGCTAATTTTCACTTCAGGAGCCAAAGTTGCATTCAATAAGAAAAGAGGAGCAGGAGGTTCACCTAGAAAATGAAGAAAGAAAGAAAGAAAGAAAGAAAGAAAGAAAGAAAGAAAGAAAGAAAGAAAGAAAGAAAAGCATAAGTGAATACAGAGAGCAAGCGAAAACTTAATTGCAATGGAGGACGAATATTCGAGCAGTTCTGTGAAAGTGCATAGATTGATTTATCGACATTATTTTCTTTCCTAGCACTCCTTTTTGTGCTCTTTTATATTGCATCTTAACATGTTTATTAGTTATACATTGATTTTAGGAATGTGGCAGTACACACACACACACAGTCCTGAAGTCCTTTATATACTTACTGGTGTGCACAGGCTTGCACAGGCTCAAACTCACCTGTCGAAGTGCAAAGCTCTGAATCTTGGTCATCACCCAAACACCAGTGATTTGTAAAGAAAGCACCTGCAATGACACTATGATTTAACAGGAAATAACAAGGACAGAGCAATGATTTAAGAATTCTCCTAACCTACTATTTTTACTTCAGCTTTTTTGGACTTGCTTAAGTGTTTTCTATCAATCCCTGGTAGTTTCTAATAACCATATTCATGAATTCACTTCCCAGTTTCCCAAACTTACAGAGAATCCAGAAGAGATTCATCAGGGTGGAGAAGGAGTTGGCTTGTCAATCTGACGTTGCCACTCTTCTGACTTTCAGGTCCTTCTACTTCTCTCACAGACGAGATGGAAATGATCAGGACTTTTGCAGCATGCATGTTTCTGTCCCCTCCCCCAGGGCACACCCTCAGATGTGGCTGCAGCTACAAGTCAAGGATGTATAATTTTTACACCATTCCTTCTGATGAACTATTCAATGTATCTCTGACCCGCAGGCACATTTACTTAAAGATAATATTTGATGGTCAGAAAGGCAGCTTTTCGTCCGTTATCCCATTTAACCCTCTTTCAGAAACTACTCTGAAAATTAGTAGCTTAGTTCACATGAGAGAAGATTCAGAGATTAATTGTAGTGGAAAATTCCTTCTAAGGATATAAATAGGAAACATTTTTCAGGATAAAATGTGTGGGGCTGCACCCCAGCAGCTAATGCCCAAGATGGAGCTAAAGCATGTACACTCCCATGCATATACACACCCATGCACACAAACCACCCCCATGTAGCATGGTCACCCCCATGGCCTATCAAGACTGCATTGAGAGACCTTATGGGCCAGATGTATGCCACAGGGCCTCGATCCCTATTCTAGCAGTTTCCACTGTGAAACTGGGTAGAGCAAGTCTGCTCACCCTTTTGGCATGGCGGCATTGTGGGACAGCAGAGGCTCCACTAAGGCCTCAATGAGGGAATCATGACATAAGTGCCCTGTCCAGATAGGTGGCAGGGGTGTAATCAATTCATTGGGTCTAAACATTGTATTTGGCTAATATTATATTTCATCCTGGTGATTGTGGTTCATTGATTCAAGTTAATTTTTCTGTACATTGATATTTTTGCTTGATTGTCTAGGTCTACCTGGGTGTTAAACCACAGAGCATAGGATTTGCTGATCAGAAGGTCGGTGGTTCAAATTCCTGCGATGGGGTGAGCTGCTGTTGCTCGGTTCCTGCTCCTGCCAACCTAGCAGTTCAAAAGCACAAAGTGCAAGTAGATAAATAGGTACCGCTTCTGCGGGAAGGTAAACAGCGTTTCCGTACGCTGCTCTGGTTCGCCAGAAACGGCTTAGTCATGCTGGCCACATGACCCGGAAGCTCCCTCGGCCAATAAAGCGAGATGAGCGCCGCAACCCCAAAGTCAGTCATGACTGGACCTAATGGTCAGGGGTCCCTTTACCTGGGTGTTCAGTAGGCATAGTTAATCCATTCTGAATTTGTTTCTTACCTCACCGTTTCAAATTCCTTCTATAGAAGGCATTGGTAGAGTGTGGGAGATTTCTTTTGGGACTAGGTATCTTATCTCTTCTCAGCAAATATGCCACATGCTAATCAGCCTGAGCCCGTATCCCCACTGCGTACAAGGAAGGGCATATCCCGCAAGCCACTAACAGCAGCAGCAGCACATGGGCAGGCAGCAGGGACCAGCCGACAGGGGCCTACTGCAGGCAATGAGTGTGCAGGTGGTGCCAACAATAGGAATAACAGCCGCAGTCGAGCCCAAGCAACTGCTAGTCTGGTTGCACCCCCAAACGTGAATGCAAGAAATCGATCAAACTCTACTCTCAGGAGACCTAATATGGGCTATAATCAAGGACTTGCAGACGCTGCACAACATGTACCCCACCATATGCCTTGTATGGTCAGATATGCTTGAGAGACGACAATGGCACAAGTGGGAATCAACCACCTGAACTTTGCATGCAGAGTAACTGCCACGAACAGAGCTTTCTGTGCACACCTGGTGCAGCTAACAGAGAACTTTCAGTCTCCACATCATAGGGTTCGCTTGGGTAATTCAGTAAAAGCTATTCTGCTCATATGGCTTAAATTCCTTGATAATGGCATATCTCATTGGCAGGACATTCTGGCCACTCAACGTGATTCCCCGATACACTCTGACGCTGCATGTTTCCTAGGTTTTGGGGGTTATTTTATGAGTAGGTGACCACCCCACTGGAAGGGTTCTCCTATTACCTGTGATCTTACATTCCTTGAATTCTTTCCTATTGTGGTTGCCATTCACCTGTGGGTTGATGTTTTTAAAAATCAGATTTTTTTTTAACACAAAATCTGGCTGAAGAATCCTGTCAAGTTTCATTTTGAAATCATTTTCTCATATCACTGATATGGAATTTGCCCTCTCACTACAAATAAGCTGACAGTCGACTTTCCCTGGGTGGTTAGTATGTGGCATTCCCCACCCGCCTCCAGTCAAAGTTCATACTCTTGTGCGATTTGTTGTTTTTTGCAAAACCGCAAATCTCACTTGAAACCATTCTTTTCCCTTCAGTCAGGGAGTGATTATTTTCAACACCATTGTGGTTGCTTCAGGAAAAGGTATGTATAAAAAGTATTTTTCTGCCATAAAAGTGGGGTAAACATTTCATAATTCTGAATCATATTGCCAGTTCAGTAGACAATCTTTAATACAAACTGTATATCTTTCACTTTATTTTGGTGATTTGACCTTTGTTATTATTTTAACTTGTTGATTTTTCTGGTTTTGGTTGTGAGACACCTTTTGTGGGCTTTGCCTAAAATGTAATAAAAATGGTGTAAATAAATAAATGTATTGAGAGTAAAAATTCACTATTACTGGTGATTTTTTTTTCATATTATAGGTCAAATTGCACATCTCTTTGTAGTTTCTATAAATCCATGGGGCATGCCATTAGCATGATATACATAGAGTAGCTGCTTATATAAAGTGTATTAGAGTGGCCTGCCAAGGATTCTGCTTCAGAAAATCCACTTAATATTTTTCTTGGTGTGCATTTTTGAATCATGTAAAGGGAGACCTCAGCCAAAATTAACTACATTGTTTACAATGGAAGTGTTGAGTAAATGCTTAAAGTTCTCCCTTTGAAATTATTTGTAGCTAAAATGCTTGAAATTACACCTTGAAGTATGAATTACCTACATTCAAATTGGTTAACAACCTTTCAGGGGTTTTTTATTTTTAAACGTGAAAACAATTTGTGACAAGTTGGTAGACCCATTTAAAAGCAAGTTGTGTTGCAGAAAAACCAAACAAAAACCATGGAGATTTAGCTCAGACTTATCTCATTCTTTTTAATTTCTGCCTTTCAGGCATGAAATTGTTATACTTTCTTTTCTGGATTGCTGATACTGTGAAGCTGATATTGGGAAAATGGCTACCCCTTGGAAGTGTGATGCAGTCTTTAAAATCTAAAGGTAACTTAGATTAAAACCAAGTCAAACTTTCTCAGAAAACTTTTTCTTTTTCTTTTTTTAAAATAATTTTTATTAGTTTTCTTTTCTCATAACAAATATCCAGTATCATTACTAAACATTCATTTTCCAATTCCCCCCTCCCTGTTGACTTCCCTCAACTTCCATTTCTGGTTTGTTACATCAAATGATACATTCTGCTGTTTGTATGTAATACTATGTTATCCAATTGCTGTACTTCTTCTCTGTAAATAAAGTTGTAAATGTTTATATAAATCCTGCCGGCGAGTCCATTTCTTTTTGTTGTTTCTGCAAATATGTTGTAAAAGGTTCCCATTCTTTTTCAAAGTCACTATTGTCCTTTTCATGCAGTTTGTCCATTAACTTTGCTTACTCTGCATAGTTCATCAACTTTTCTTGCCATTGTTCTTTTGCTGGTACAGTGGTACCTCGGGTTACAGACACTTCAGGTTACAGATGCTTCAGGTTACAGACTCCGCTAACCCAGAAATTGTACCTCGGGTTAAGAACTTTACTTCAGGATGAGAACAGAAATTGCGTGCCAGCGGTGCAGCGGCAGAGGGAGGCCCCATTAGCTAAAGTGGTGCCTCAGGTTAAGAATAGTTTGAGGTTAAGAATGGACCTCCGGAACAAATTAAGTTCTTAAGCCGAGGTACCACTGTACTTCTCCGGTATTCCAATTTTGTGTTATTAAAATTCTTGCTGCTGCTGTAGCATACATAAATAATGTCCGTTTTTCTTTCAGCAACTCTTGTCCTAAAATACCTAACAAAAATGCTTCTGGGTTTTTTTAACAAAATTTTGCAATCTGTTCTGAATATATGGCTTGGATTCCCATATTAATTTTTTCTCCAAATTCCATTTCTTCAAGAACATTTTTCATAAAGTCCCAAGAAACATTATCAAATGCTTTTTCTGCATCTATAAACATAAATGCAGCTTGCTTTTCATTTCAAACTTCCAGGTATTCTATTATGTTTAAAACATTCCTAATATTATCTTTCTTTTGCCTACATGGGAGAAATCCTGCTTGATCCTGGTGTATATATTCTTCCCAAAAAAAATTTCATTCTGTTGGCTAAAATATATGCAAACAGTTTGTAATCGTTATTTAATAATGAAATGGGCCTATAATTTTTAACTAAAGTTATGTCTGAATCTTGTTTTGGGATTAATGTTATGTATGCCTCTTTCCATGTTTCTGGGACTTCCCCTGTTTTTAAAATCTCATTCATCGTGTCTCAGAATACTTTTTTGAGTGAGCAGGGAGATCATTCTTTCTCACAGCTCAGGAAGAAAAACAACCTTGTAGAGTTTTCTACAAATGCAGTAGAACAACTGCTGCAATAATAAAGTTGCCTGTGAGAATCAGTGGTGGAAAATGTCATTTTCTGGTCCCCTATATCTATATCAATGTAGTGCCCTCCAGATCTTGTTGAAATACAACTCTCAACACTCCCAACCAGCAGTCTTCACTTATAGTCATAATACCAAAAACTTTAAAGTCCAATTCATCCAAAAGCAATATTTGAGTAGCTATATCCTCACAGAAAAGCATAGGAAAAAAATGTTTATGGGTAAGTTAATGTAGTACAAACCATGGAGAGGAACAATGAATAATGATTTGGTTTTGGAGTGGCTTTAATCATTTAATGTAGTTATAGAGTCCATCTAACCCTGAAGCTTGCATTAAACTTTTTTTCTTCCTATCACAGAGAAGCAGGAAGATTCCCAGCCGAAATGCACTGAAAAAAGGGAAGGAATGAGTCTAGGTAAATATTACGTTCCATACCATGAGGGACGACAAGGTAGTATGAATAATTGTTTGCCTCTGGAAATGCTTTAATAATTTGAATTATGGGTTATTAAACTGTTGGGTCAATGTTTCAGCCCACCTTTTGAATTCATTACACTGAAATCTTAATGAAAATATAGTTAAAATAAAATACTTTTGAATAACGTGTCTGAAAATTACAATGTTTTTATTTATCTTGTTTTTGACAATTATTATGGAGAACTTCATAAATGTATGAAAATACTTGTTGCAGATGTAGCTTACACATTCAAGATAGTTCCTGTCTTTGACCCACAAATGAACTGTGAAAATTTCCCTTTCTAATAAGGCTACTCAGTGTCAATTTAGCTTTCTTACACCCCCTGAGAAAACAAAATATCTCCTAGATAAACCCAACCTTACTTTGGAGAGTCTTGGCTTATCCCAGATTTATTCCAGAGGTCAAAGTTTTCACTATGGTCAGTCATCAAGCAAATCAATCCACCTTCTAGCTCCATAGCATTTCCTCTTCCCAGTAAACAAATCTTGTAATGATCCATAGTTTGTCCGCCTTTGGTCTCCAGCCTACACCCATCTCAGCTCTCACCTGTGGCTCATTGAAGCTGTCAGCATGAGACAGTGGTCACACCACAAGAATGGATTCAACTGGCTGGCTTAATCAGGTGGGGGTAGCTGATGGGTCTCAAACCCTGAGTGAGTTAGGGACTTAACTTGCATGCAAAGACATGCTTCAGTAGATTGAGTGGACCAATAGTGGTTCCAACAGTCAATAAGGCAGTTTCTGCACGTGCTGTAGAGGGAAATGAAGGGCAGATAGGGCTCATCAATCTGGGAGGGTGATCCATCTAGGAGAATGAAAACTCTGATCCCAAACCTCTGCTGCCTTATGGGACATCTTCAGGAGAATAAAAGGCTAAGGAGTAAACCCTGCACAAATCTGGAGAGGAGCTTGTAAGATGGTTGGATGGCATCTGGTACACCTCCTTTCAGCAACTCCTGCAGCCAAACTGGTGCCAAATGTATTGCTGTGCTTTCCTTTGGACCACAAAGTGAGGCTGAGAGTTTGGTCTTGTCACTTGGGCAGCCCAGGACCTCCATATACACTGCCCAGGCTTGTGCCTCAGAGAGGTCACTTCAGTGCTGTTAACACAGCAAAAAACAATGCAGTTTGACTTCATCCTTGGAGGTACACTCCATTGTCTCTTGCGACAGACGGATGCCAAGAACTGCTGATAACACAGACTCCCAGCTTTCCATCTCCTCTGTCTCCCCCCTGCTTGACTCTTCCCCATTGTTTATAAAGTACCTGCTGTGGCTTTGACATTTGTCTTGTTCCTGACATCTCCCCAACATTCTTTACATGTAGATATGCATGTATATGACAAATCCTTCTATATATTAATTGTTCTCCCTGATAAGAGCTGGAAGGATTTTCTTGTCATGTTCTGATTCATTATCAAAGCAATTACAAGCGATATAGGAAATAGCAGAATGCTGTGAGTGGAGTTAATTGCACAGGTACTTCCCATAAATGTCCCGATTTTTAGCCAGCAGGATAGAACTGCAATATCTTTAGTTACCGTACATCCTATTTTTAATGAAATTCCGCCCTCATCCCAAACTGTCTATCCATGAATACTTCACCCCTGTCTTTAACCGGTTTTATATTAATTTGTTTTTTCTGCTTTTCAGACATCATTCCGGCCTATATTTTTCAGTTTCCTGACTTCATAAAAGCAAAAAGTCTTCAAGAATATGCACACAACCTGTGGCCAGTCAAATCTATAGGTACTTTAAATATATACGTAACTCACACAGTAAAAGTATAGGCAACCCATTAACTATGAAATTCATGTTTATGCATAACATTTTTGCCCATCAGTTTAAAGAATTGATGATTTTGGTCCTGGCTCTAAACATAATCAATGATACCTAACCTGAGGCAGAAAGGGAGAAAGCATTCTAGAGGGAAGAACTGGGCTTAGAGGACATATACCTTCTGTTTTGCCAAATAAATAAAAACACGTTATTTTAGATTCAGTGGCAATAACACTAGTGGGGGGAAATTCATTGCTTGAATACAGAATAATATGCACATCAAAATGATCTTTAAAGAGAATAACATGGCATAAGCAAGATAAAATACTTACCCATTCAGTTATCAGCAGCTTCAGGAAACAATAACAAAAAAGGATGCAGCTAAGCAGTACACCAAACCCTTCTGAGCAGGGCCTACATATATCAAAGCTCCAAGGTCAGAACCCATCAGCGAGATTTATACACCTTAGGCCCTTAGCGGTTACATGCTGGCTGGCCTGATATCCAGATGCCTCACACCTATTCCAGAAGCTATTATTGGGATGGTGCAAGAGATGTTATATCACCTGCCAGGTGAGGTAGGCAAATAGGCAGGGCCCAGCATAGTTGATTAATGCTGCAGCTCTGCTGCTTCTGGCAGTCACTCAACCTTCAACTGGCCCACAAGAGCACCCTTGAACTTTCTGCTGGCACTTATCCCTGAAGCACAAACAGAAATCAAGACAATAAAGTCAACCAAAAACCCTTGGGAGTCCTAAAGGGCTTGATCCTTTAGGATGTGCCAAACAGCAAGGAGGAATAATTGTACAAACCAGTTGACCTACCTCTTTGAAATAAAAAACAAAAATCATCCACAATAGGTTTTCTACACCCTCTCTTATATTTAAGCTCCAGGTTGTACATATGTTCCACCTCCACTTTGCCAACTGGAAGACTGACAAGTGCCATCTCCTGGTCCTAGAGTCATAATTACAATGCTGATTTTAAAGCTGATTTCACCCACATGTATGTCTTGAATGTTGCTCTTGTTCTGTGACAGAACGTTTCCTGAGAAAATGCTATGAAAAGGCACAAAATACATTTAAAGGTAGGTTACCTTAAGTAATTCCAAATATTGTATTGCAGAAGAATAAGAAATTATGTATAGATCTATAACTGCAGTTAACTGAAAGCAGAAACTTCCAAGCTCCTTCTCCTGGATTAATTGGAGAAGGGAAGGCAAGAGTGAAAAACAGAAGGAACAAAGCTGGAAGGAATTCCAAACCTTTTGCTTCCACTTTCAGTCAGCTGTAATTTGTCATGACACCAGGACATACAAACTGCCTCTGCTGTTTTTCAAGCACTATTCCCTTCTTTATTTGTGCACCGGTCCCTGACTTTGTGAGGCCATAGGCAGAAAGCTGAGATTTTGAAAACACAAGGTGACCTTTCAAATTTATAGGTACTTTAAGTATGAGGTTGACATTTTAAAAGACCAGCTAACACATATAGTAAATATAAGGAAATATCTGTGTCATTCACACTTTTCTACAGACATTTTAGTCCTATTTGGAAAAATAATATCAGTGATTGCAGATACCTGCATCCTATAGAGAGGAATAGGGCTTAGAAGACATGTGTTCCTTCCCATATTTAGGCTTCCAGGTTGTCCATATGTGGCACACCAATTTTGCAAACAGTTGACATGATCATTGCCACTAGCCAGTCATGTAGCCATAGAATTGTAGAGTTGGGAGGGACCCTGAGGGTCATCTAGTTCAACCCCCCCTGCAGTGCAGGAATCCATCCAAGGTACGATAGCTTCACTAATTCCAAATATTGCATTACTGAAGAATCAGAAGCGCTGTGTAATTGATTGAGCAATTCTTGAATATGAAAGTGAATGCTTCAACTACACATGCACCTTCTAATAGCTCTCCTGTAATGTGTTTGACATTTGTTAAAAATCTCTTTAGCCTTAGAGTCCCATCACCTTCCTTTTAAAAACAGTCAAAACTTGTCTTCCTCATAAAACAAAGATAAACAGTGCTTATGTATCATTGATAAAACATTTGCTACTGTTTTCTTACATTATATTCTCCCAAATGATCTTCACTACTGGCATTGTTTTCCCAAATGAATTTATTCCCCAAATGAATTTTGCAGTCACTCCTGCTCTGAGATGGTGGAAGCACTACCATAGATTAGAGGCGAGCTTTCAACCTATTCTTGTTTAGATAAAGAGATTTTCATCACCAAGGCCTTGGGTGATGTTTCTTGTTTGCCACCTCCTCTTTCATTATCGAAACGATATCCAGCAGAGCAAGAAAGTCACAAGGGAACATTGGAAGTTACACAAACTCCTCCTATGGCTTCAGGATAACATAATTGGGGGGGGGGGGGTTGATTATGTAACAAGTGAAAGCCTGCTAAAGAGCAAGACTGATTTAAAAAAACCCATAGGAGTCTAGCTCAGCAGAGGTAGAGCTAGCTGCTCCGGCACCTGGAGCGGCCCCCAGTTGCGGGGCAGGGCTAGCCAGCTGCGAGGACGGGGCTAGCCACCCGCAGGGTTGCGCTGGTGGCAGGAAGTGTCCCGGGGGGTGTGCCACCTGCGACAGTGTCACCCCCCCTCCGCCTCTGTAGCTCAAGCCTTATTTACCTTTCCCCTTTTTGTTTTTCAGGCATTTCCTTCTATATTCATGAATTTGTGAGACTGATAACAGAATGTCTACAGCTTTTGAAATCCAAAGGTACTTTAAGTATACGATTGACATGTTAAAAATACAGATCATCTATTGCAGGAGTGCAGTGGCCCTAGCCTGGGGGCTGAATGCAGCTCTCCAGGCCTTTCTAACCATCCTTCAGGGTTCTTCCCAAGTTATGCCCCCTTTTCAGGACTCAGTCCTCACCAGCTTTGCTCTACACCCTCCTTGAGTGTTTTTGTCTGGCTGGGATGTATGCTTGAACTACGATAAAGGCTCGTGCTTGCCAAAACTAAGAACTACGGGCGTGGGTGTACTAGAAACCCCTGGTTTTTGTATAAATGGAATGAAACTTGCATTTTTACAATATGAGTAATATCTCTTGCAATTCTTACTACCATCTCTGGTCTCGGCCACCACTGGCACAAAGCCCCCCAGGCTGTGCACAAGCATGGTCCGTCTATGAAGCAGAGTGAAGCAATTTGCCTTGGGTGGCAGATCCAGCCCCCTGCCCGCACTGCTGCACTGACACCAGGCCTGCTGCGGCTTTGCCCAGGCCACTGCCACTGCACGACCACGAGTAGGGGTGCAGTTGTGGCAGGACCACGGCAGTACAGATGCAACAGTGGGGGGGAGGAAGGGTCTGATTCTGTGGGGGAGGGCATTTTGCCTACAGTGGCCATATGTCCAAGGCTACCCCTGGCTGCCCAAGAATATATCCCTTAGTTGGAAAAGGGCTCCACAACCGTTTTCTTTTCTTTCTTTTTTTAAATGATATTTATTAAAGTTTCAAAGAATACAACAATTTCACAAAAACAAAAAGTAAAAATACAAGAAAATACAGAATACAGAAAAAAGAATAAAGTTTTTAAGATATAGCAAAAAAAATAAAAAATAAAAAGAACATACAAAATAAAACAGTTAAAAACACGTTAATTTTCCATAGCCTATCTTCCTTACACTTATTTCCCCGGACCTCCTCGTACCTCCCTTTTTTGTATTCCAGTTCAGTTTGTTAGTTCAGCAAATCCTTACCATTAAGCTTTTACCCATTTGTAAACCTTTTTTCGTATCTCTTCCACAACCGTTTTCTGTTAGGTGGAAAACTGAACATTCTCTTCTATCCTCACTTTGAAGAAATTGTGATATTGGTCTGGACATCTAAAACAAATAATGATTCCATACCCTCCAACATTTCTCCAATAAAAATAGGGACATCCTATTCCATAATAATAATTTTACTATTTTTGCCCTACACATCTTACTGGGTTGCCCCAGCCACTCTGGGCTGCTTCCAACATATATAAAAACATAATAAAACATTAAACATTAGAAAAAAAATACTTCCCTATACAGAATTGCCTTCAGATGGCTGAGGGTAACTCCATACCCTCCAGCATTTTTCCAATGAAAATTGGGGAAATTCTAAGGAAAAGTAGGACATTCTGGGATCAAATCGGAAACTGGGACAGCTTCTCTAAATCAGGAACACCCCTGGAAAATAGGGACACTTGGAGGGTCTGTGATTCTAGACAGAGGGTGTTGTCTTCAAAGCTACACCAACTCCTCCCATAGCTTCAGGACAACTGCATGGGGGTGGAAAGTGATTGTCTGAGATGTGAAAGTCTCCTAAAAAGCAAGCTTGATAAAAATGGGGGGGGGGACTGTGGAAGTTTAGCTCAGGCCTTTCTCATCACCCCCCTTTCTGTTTTTCAGGCATTTTTGTATGCATTTGTGACTCTGTGAGATGGACTGTGAAAAGACTCGTGGGTACTTTAAATATATGATTGTGTAGCATTTTCATTTAACTCTCCTTGAATGTTTTTGTCTGGCTGCAATGTATGCTTGAAGTGCAGTAAAGGCTCTTGCTTGCCTGGGCAAAGAGATATGGGTGTTGGCCATACTTGGGGTGTCAACTTGAATAAAATATGGGGGGCACAGGTAAGCCCCGACCAACATAATCGATCACATGGCATGCCACACACACACCATTTGAATGGCAATGCCCATCAACAGGGATGGGGGATTTGACCCTCTCAAATATTTTATTGGGGCCCTCAGCCTCTAGGAGTTGGCTCCTGTGGGTGTACTAGAAACCTCTGGTTTTTGTGTAGATGGGATGTAGCTTGCTGCACAAATGTAAGATTAAAATCTCTTGCTGTGCCTATTATCACTTCTGGCCCTGGCTACCACTGGCCAAGGATTCAGTTGCCAAGTATTCGAAAAGGTTCCCCAAACCTGATCTGTTAGGTAGAAAAACTGGAAATATATGCACACCATCCATTCTTAGTGTTGTCGTATCTTGAAGAACAGATAAGAGGACAGCCCAAGCCACCTGAGCCCAAATACCCCAGACATTTCCTTTAAAATGTAAAAATCTGCTCAGACAGGCATGTTGACCCCCCAAAAGAGGAGATGTCTGGGTTTTCCTGGACATATGGGAACTCTGCCTTCTCTTTGAAAAAATGATGATATTGGGATGGAATGCCTCACATTAAAGGGCCTACTGAAGTGAGTAGTGAAATAGCAGGGCAAGTTAGTACACAATTTTTATTCTATAAAATGGGATTGCTGGTTTCCCACAAGCTGTATTTTAGAAGAAGCTGCAGCGATCTTCTCTGATGCTATATTGCACACAAATAGACCCCCGTCAGCAGACTACTTGTGAGCAGAGTGATTTCTGTGACTTGTAATTGGGGCCTGGTGAGATTCACAATAGGAATCATCCTTGGTTTCATTTTCATGCTGTTTACTGTTTTAATCTGAAACTTTTCATTTGCAGGTATAATCTATTTTTCATTGTTTCCTGATTTAAAGTCAGAAAATGGTAAGTGTTGGGAAAGACTCTGAATTAAAAGCAGAGGCACTGTATGTACTTTTCTTTGTTTCTTTGTTTGTTACACAGGAAAATCTTTAATAAAAACTAGTTTTTAGAAAGCTGAAAGATTTAAAACAATACATCCAATAAAAAATATTAATTCACTTATTCTAAGTTGGTACTGTAGTAAAATACTTCGCCACTTAAACAGCTACGTGATCCCAACTTTCTGTTAGAAAATATATCACAAAATTTTAGTTTTCTTGTGGTTATATTTATTATATTATTACATTTACACTGGGAAGTGTTGTTAAGCGTATGTTCGTTTCCTTGAATAAAAAGTTAGCTTCACTGACAATTGGCCCTGCTTCTTCATGCTGACCTGCATCTGTTCCCATATGCATGTTGGGATTAAAAGTGGGTCCTGGGTCTGTAAACATTGATGATACCCCAGTTGAGAATACTAAGTTCAGCTGATGTATGTTGCACATGTATCGGTATGTGCTAATAAAATACCTGCTTAAAATTACAACACATACTAGAACATCATGTTGAAAACAACACATAGTACCAGGAATGAAATACATTGTGTGGCATTACTATATTATATTTGAGGGCTCTGCATCCTTCATGTCTCACAGAAGGCAGCTAAGAAAAGGGAGAGGGAGCAGTTTGAGTACAGCAAGAATGGAAGAACAGGGGATGGCAGAACTTTGAGTAGAGGAAGCAGGGATGGAGGGACACTGACAGAAAAATGGTTATTCTTAACAACAGCATAGGTCTGAGTAGAGCAAGCAGGGTGAAACAGTGAGAGGGCAGTGGTGATTTTAAATAATGTCAGAGTAGGAATTTGAGCCACACATTGATTCTAGTTTTATTTTGAAATGCTTACTACATGTAAAATCCATATCTTTTTTCCTTTGCAGATGAATTAAAGAGAGAAATAGGTCAGTATTCTAACACCACCCAGCTTAAACTATTAGTTGATTCTATATTGCAACACTTCTTATCCTCTGAATCCATTGTGTCCAGTAGGTTTTTGTGCTAACAGAAAGCACTTCCTTTACACAAGGAAGTTTTTCAGTGTTCCACCACCAAATTTCTGATTTTGGAAGGGGAGGTGAATAATACTTCATTTTAAAGTGTCATCTTTATATTATATCTTTTCTTTTTCAGAACAACTGAAGGCAGAAATAGGTAATTCATATGTAACATTTCACAGTAACGGGGGGGGAAATGCATGTTCTTGAAAAAATAGTATATGACAGGTTATCATACAGAATATGGAAGAGAAGAGGATAGAGAGGTTGTTATAACAGAGCACAAACTTCCTTAGGTGAGGGAGTGATTCTTTATCAAGATCTACTAGGATGAGTAGGGTTAGGATCCAGTAGATCTCTGGCTGACCTGATAGGTTCCTGGCACAACTGGGCTATACTGGCATAACTCCCCATTCTTGGCTCAGCTAGATATATGCTGGCATCCCCCCCCCCTCCATCCCAACTCAGCCAGGACCCAGCTGGCTATCAAGTAACATGAGCAAAATGTGATATACCATGGCAAAGTGTGCATAGAATATGCATATTTGTGTGGAAATAACATATAAGATTGCTTGTGGAATGTGTACATCAGGAAATATTGCATTAATGTGTGTGTCAAGAGAAATCCACTAACAATGCTAATGAATTTTCACGAGGACTTTTCATTTGGGAATGTGGAGAACTGAGCCTTAAGATTGGGAAAATAAGAAACCAAAGTAGGCAGATTAGCCGATCCGTGTCTGTTGCTATCTTTCCTTCTGGCAGCTGCCCCTAGGTGCTGGTATTCAAAATATGATTGTATCTTGGCAATTAGCTATTTTCCCTTCCTGCCAGGAAATCCAACATATTCCTTGTTGAAAACAAAATCATGCCTGGAACACAGGCCTGAATTGGATGTAATGTTATTCATGCCTTTGGGTCTTTTGTTAATAGATTGCAGGTAAAGGGGAGAGAACCAGTTTGGGAGCAGGGTATAGGGATCCTTTCTCATGAAGAATTCTGGATACATGTGACTTCGGTGGTGGGGATTGAATGTGAGGGCCCCTTCTATCGAATACTACCTTGCTTTGTTCCCTTACGATACTGGTGCCAGAATGAGGATGGGTCCATTCATGTTTCCACAATTGCGGAAGCAGCCTCTCATTAGAGAACTCCTAACATGCTCTGCATTGCCCATGTGCAGAGAACTGACACGGGTTGAATATTTGTGTGGACTTCTTGTGCCAGCATTCCCAGTGGTTGTGTGACTAGCACTGCCTGTATCACTATTGCCCATGAAACTTCTTTGTCCATTCCTTTGTTCACAGAATTTGCAGATGTCCATCGCTACAGAGGTGAGAATAACAAATGCTTGGAAATACTAATCAGCAAAATGATAACCAATTAAAATCAATACTGGGGTTTGCAGTATTTAATTATTTTAATTAATTAATTAATTAATTAATTATATTAATTAATATAATTAAAACCCTGGTTGTTTCATAGGGCTTATGTAGACCATCCCGCAAACCACACCCTACATTTCTCTCTCTCTCTCATCCATCCCAGATCCTAGATTTTATTGAAACTTTTCAACATACACTGCAGTAAAAAAAAAACACACACACTCTGTGTAGCAAGCAGACTGTGCTTGATACTCTGTTTCCCAGAAACAACTGATACAATGGAACCCCAATGTCATAAAGGTTTTTGTGCTGGTCTGGGTAAATTAAAGTGGCACTTACAGTGTCAGAATGTGTGTTTTGTACATAGAACGTTTCAAGTTCAATCGCTATCTCTCATCAAAAGGAATTTCAGACCCTTCTAGATTTATTTATTTTTGCCAAGATATGGGATTGTCAGTTCCTCTACTTTCTGATTCAGCTCCAGATGCAGCTTTTAGCTGTATAAAAATGCTATGTGTGATTTGCATCTGACCTCGCATCACTCAGGGATGTCCCTGGTCCCAGCTAGCACAGTCAGTGGTCAGGGATAAATGGAAGTGTCCAAAGAGATGCTTCTTCCAAACTTTGCCTTGAATGAAACAAAGCTGCCTTTGATCAAAGGCAGCTCCCTTGCCAAATCCCCTCAAACTAGATAGCAATGAAAGGTAAGAAACCCTTCACCTTTAGAGTGTTCATATTTGTCTGTCCTTCTATCCCTCCTGACCTTTTCTCAGCTTTTCATATTCATGTTTAAGAGGGGTGCACCATTACTTGTTTACAGATTAGCATAATTTATTTAAAAATCAACACAAAGCCTGCTGCCCCAAATGCAAAGAAGGTGCCAATCATCCTGAAAGAAAGAGGTCCACCTGTGCTGTAAATAATGTACAACAAATGACAACCCATTGAACATGCTGGAACTTTGGTTGTCGAACACTTCAGAAGTTGAACATTTGTCAGGGAGGTATGGTTCTCTCTTCACAGTAATTGCCACTTCACACCATTGACCTTTTTATGGTCTTTATTTACAAGTATTTACAGAAGTCATCATGAGCTAATCACCATTAGTCTGACTCTGTTGAATCAAATTCCTCCAGTGACCTCTTCCTCCATTTCCAGCATCTAAAGTGCGGGAACTTTACGACTCTACTTTGAACCTGTCTTTTGACCTTGTGCCTGGCTCGAGCTGTTGTAAATCTACCTCCTCCTTCCGATTCAGAGCTTAACCCTTGTGGTGCCTGTGAGGCTGCCTGCTCCCTTTCCACCTTTTCCTGATTCCCTGCGTCTACAGGAGCTGACGTTTCCCCACTGGGCTCTCCTACCCTCTCCTCTTCTGCCTCCTCCATTCCTAACCGAACGCTCTCTTCCATGTCAGGGGATTCTGAGCATACTGATTCTGCCCTGAAAACGTTTTGGCTTTCAAACACTGACAACCCAGAAGTGAATGCTTCCATTTTCAAACGTGCCTTGGAAGTCGAATGCCTTCTGAGGTGTGTTTCTCAGTTTTTTTCAATGGATTTTTCCAACTGGCAATTGCGCCTCGGTTGCTGAATGTTTCGGAAGTCAAACAGTCTTCCGGAATGGATTATAATTGACAACCGAGGTTCCACTGCACTATGGACTGAAATAGAATTGCATGGGGGTGGGCATGGGTTTGATACTCTTTGAAGCACACTTCATTTACTTAGAAATTCAAAGTGCCCATCTATATCTATCTATCTATCTATCTATCTATCTATAGACAGGTGCCATTTGTAGTTATCTATTTTCAGGCCTGAGTGTGATCTACAAGGGGGTGTCACTGTCCTTAAAGTGTAACACATAGCTCAAGTCTGTGCCTTTGTGTTAAGTCCTTTTTTCTTCTTTGCAGCTAATGTGGTCTTGGACCCCAAGACAGCTCACCCAAGACTGAACGTTTCAGATGGAAAATGTTTTTGGGACACAGGAAACATATCTAAGGTTCCTAACTGTGAGGAGAGGTTTGACTCCCATACATTTGTTCTGGCAAAAGAATGTTTTTCTAAAGGAAGACATTATTGGGAAGTGGAAGTTGGCGAGAAAAGAAAGTGGGATTTAGGGGTTGCCTCTGAATTTGCTCATAGAAAAGGGGAGATCACGCTGTCTCCTCAGAATGGCTACTGGGTTATAGGACTCGAAGGTAGAAAAAATTATTGGGCTCGGACAGAACAATGGACCTATCTTAAAGTGAGTGGGAAGCCAACGAAAATAGGGATATTCCTAAACATGCCAGCTGGAAGCCTATGTTTTTATGATGTCCACAATAATAGGAAGTTATACACATTTTCTATTTGTTGTTCTGGGAAGCTGTATCCCTTCTTCTCTACAGGCTCTGTAGCTGCAGAGCTGGACAGCCAGCCACTGAAGATTTCCCCATGGCTTGAAGAAGATGACATTGTTGAGGAAGATGGGAAGAAAGCAAACATCTCAGAGATGGCTCAGGATTAGTGTAAATCTTCCGTTTAATGAAAACAGCAGGAGAGAAGTAGAAGTGGTTTTAAAAAACCTAGACTAAAAGCATCCTTGTTTAAAGGGTTATATTATCACAACTATGGGGGGAAATTCTAACCAAAAGGATGCAATTGTTTTAACATAAAATTTAGAATTTTTTGGTGGGAAAATTCATTATGTAATTACAGAAACAGAATGGATTTTCTGTGTACTTTTCTTGTGACCAATGTAAATATCTGTCAACCTCTTTACATAATAGGTTGTGTTGTAGCAAATATGAATTGAACATAATTGAACTTAGCACTCAACTATTTGTGTATTAACTGGCTTGAACTTCCCTACAAAAAGAATAAAGGAGTATGTGAAAGCTAGTTTTAATGTTTTTTGTTTTGTTTTAAAAGATGTGACCAATGTAACACTTTTGCAACCTGAAGAATATGTTTGTAACTTAGATAAGTGTTTTCTCTAAAAATATCTTTTTAAGCCCATCTGAGGCAATATACATAAAAAAACAAAATTGCAGGCAAACCAGGCAGACACTGAGGGTAATCTATAATTTACATTAACAAAAACAAAACCCTGTTCTAGTATTGAACGTAAGTTATGTTGCAAAGGACAAAAATATTGGTTTTCTGCTGAATAATAAGTTCCTAAATAAAATCACTAAGAAATGATAGTTTGTAGTATGTTTAGCATGCGGAGAATGAGAGGTATGTATCAAGAAAATTTTGCTGAGGATTGTAACAGAATCCCATTGGCACAGGAATTGGATGAATTACTCTTTTGAAAATATATTTAACAAAAAGTATATCCCTCCTGACTGTATTTTTTAAAACCCTCTAATGGGTTTACAAAAATATTTGCAGCAGTTTTTGAAACAAGCTTAGTTAATCCCTTTAGATAGAAATTTGTATGGTTCATCTGATTGCCAAAGAAAAAGACACTAGCATGTAACTACAAATGTGTGGGTGATCCACAAGGGGGCAATGGTGTCCTAAAAAGTAACACAAAGCAACCCTCAAATGTGTGCGTTTTGAATTAAGCCCTTTTTGTTGCTTTGCAATGGATGTGATCTTGGATCCCAAGACAGCTCACCCCAAACTGAAAATGACTAAAGATGGGGAAAGTGTTCAGAACACAGGATTTTTTTCTAAGGTTGCTGACTGGGAAAACAGGTTTGACTCCCGCACATTCATTCTGGCAAAACATGGATTTTTATAAGGGAAACATTACTAGGAGGTAGAAATTGGTCAGAAGAAAACTTGGGACTTGGGAGTTGCCTCTGCAAACATTTTGAGAAAAGGGAGAGTCACCCTGTCTCCTGAGAATGGCTACTGGGTCATAGGATGCGATGATGGGGAAAATCACTGGGCTTGAACAGAGCCATTGACCCACCTGAAAGTGAAAGGAAAGCTTACAAAATGAGGAATATTCCTAGATATGCATGATCAAGTCTTGTCCTTTTATGATGTTTCCAGTGAAAGGAAATTGAACGTTTACAAAGGACTTGGTGATGGGAAGCTTTATCCCTCCTATACAGGCTCTATAACTACAAAGCAAGATGAACAGCCGCTGAAAATTGCAGTACAGTTGTACTTTGGATCCCCAATACCTTGCGAGTTGAACGTTTTGGCTCCTGAATGCTGCAAACCCAGAAGTGAGTGTTCTGGTTTACAAACATTCTTTGGAACTTGAACGTCCAATGTGGCTTATGTGCAGGAGCTTCCTGCAGCCAGTCGGAACCCTCATCTTGGTTTCTGAATGTTTTGGAAGTCTAACGGACTTCCGTAATGGATTCCATTCGACTTCTGAGGTACCACTGTATTTGAAACAAAAGGAGATACCGGTGGGGAAATGAAAAACAAAACAACCCTTGGCTGTCGTAGAATCAATTAAGGGCATGTCTTTAATTTAACCAGGTTGGTTTTTCTGCTCTTTAGATATTAACACCTTTTAGGATACTTAGATATTTGACTCTATCCCAGGGGTTGCCAGTGTGGTGCCTATGGACACATATATTCCTGCAGAGTCCTTCCCTGGAATATGCAGAGTTTGCTTCTCTGTTCCTCTGCTCCCCATTGAAATTAGGCTTGGGGGAAACTATTTTATTTTTGGGCAATAAAAGAGGATACAGAGTGTGCTTGGTTGCAATTTGTGTGGGGTGCCCACAACATTTCTCGAGTTTGCAAATGTACCCCAAAATGATTTGAGGATGCCTACAATCTATTCCATTGTGTATTTTAATGTTGAGCCACCCTGATACCCTCACTTATAGAAATATTGATAATAAAAAATATTAATAAGGGTTTTATCTTTTACAAAGTATTGTCTGTAACTGTGCTAAACATTTGTGATAAACAAATATCCTTGATTTGAACCCAAACAGACCAATTAAAACAGGGATATTCCTACATCTAATTTCCAGAACTATGTATTTGTATGAGTTTGTTGATTTTTCATAGTTGTTATTCCATTCCATTTTATTTATTTCTTCAAATGTTCTAAGAAAGAATAATGCAAATATCGTTCTTAAAGATACATTTTGATTTGATTTGTTCTCAGTATGCTCTTTTCCCATAGTATTTTATGCAATGAAGCCTCCAATATGTTCCCAGCCTCAGCTGAGCCAGGATGACCAAGTTACACCTTCTGAGCCCATGTTGGAGGGCTGATTGTGGACTGAGTCAGGATTTAGCTGTGCATCCTGGAAGATCTTGTCATAGGATTGTCCTCTTAGCTGGATGCAATAATCTTTTTACGGATGCTTGTTTACACTTTAATTACAAAGGCAAACAATATTGCAAAGAAGGATTACAATTTGAGATGCTAGAATGAAGTAGGATCTCCATTTAAAAAAGGAAAAAATATAATAAGAACTCCTGGGCAGGGGCATTGTGGAGGGGAGGCAGGGAGCCAGAGAGCAGACACACAATTTTGAAGGGCTGCAAACCAGGAGCCCCATGCAGCGATCCCCGTCCTCCCCTGTGCAGGCAGGGCACAGAGAGTTCACAGAGCCAGCCCAGCCTTCCCCACTGGCCATGTAGCTGGTCCCCTTGATTAATGGCCACCCCTTGATGAATGGCTCAGGTGGGGAGGGCTGTGCTGGCACAATGGTCTCTGTGAATCCTCTGTAGCCTGCTCTCTCCTGTGTGCACATATTTGCAAGCAATGCATTCAAGAGCAGAGAAGGGGGGAAACAGAGGTTGTCAGATTGTTCCAGAAACAGTCCTGGAACCCTTTGGAACTAGAATAATCTATGTCAGCTAATTTAAAAAGCAGGTGCATTCGTCATCTCCTACTGCAAATATATAAAAGCCTGAGAGTAGAAATTGTGTTGGAAGGCGACTCTGCAACTTTGGTCCACTCTAAGGATTGCAGGATGTCAACAAGCATCAGTGAGCATTTCTCTTTATTAAGTGATCTCTTTTGTTCAGTTCAGGCCTCAGCAAAATAATGTAACATTTAGGGAAGAAGATGCAGCCCAGCAATCCAGCACTGGAGGCTAAGATGGAGAAGATCTCCACAGCGACCATGTATTTCCCTTTGGTGCTCAGGTAGGTGGGGAAAAAGGATAACCAAACACTGCAAAACACAAGCATGCTAAAAGTGATTAGCTTGGCTTCGTTGAAACTGTCAGGTAATTTTCTAGCCTGGAAAGCTACAGTGAAGCTCACAATAGCCAGGAAGCCCATGTAACCCAGGACACAGTAGAACATAGTCACAGACCCCTCATTACATTCAAGTACAATTTCTTCAGTCACTGAATTCATGTCAATATCTGGAAATGGAGGATTAATTGCCAGCCATACGGTACAAATAATTCCTTGAACAAGAGAGCAGAGAAGAACAATGGAGTTGGCCACCTTTTTCCCTACCCATTTCCTCATGCTACTTCCTGGCTTGGTGGCCATGAAAGCCAGAACCACTGTAATGGTTTTTGCTAGCACAGAAGAGACAGCCACTGAGAAGACCATGCCAAATGCAACTTGACGGAGGAGGCACATCACCTTCACAGGATGGCCAATAAACAGCAAAGCACAAGGGAAGCAGAGCAGGAGGGAGATGAGGAGGGTGTAGGTGAGGTTCCTGTTGTTGGCTTTGACAATAGGAGTGTCACGGTGCATTATAAAGGCTCCTAGCACTAGAGCAGTGATCAAGGAAAAGAAAAGTGCAAAGATGGCTAAACTCATCCCCAAAGGGTCCTTATAAGACAAGAAGGTTATTAGCTTTGGAATGCAGTGATCTTTTTCCTTGTTTGGATAATGATCTTTTGGGCACATTGTACAAAATTCTGCATCTGAAAAAAGAAGATGAAAAACATTTTCAGATCTTGCTTTTTGGAGTTGAAGCCATTCCTTCTATTTCTACAAACAATCAGGTTTAGGAATAGCATCCCCCCTTTTAAAAATTAAATCATGCTGTAGTCTTCCCTTTAAGAAGACAAAAGTATGTGTGTGTTGATGTACAACTTTCAAGATAAATGAATAAAACTACTAACATATCACTTGGCACCAATGGTATTCTAAGGCAAGCTTTCCCTTACTACTTACTAATGTTCCAGCTAGGCTGAATTTAACAGGTAACAGAGAGAGATTGAAACATTTGCACTAGCTTCCAGGATGAGACATCTCTGCCACACAATTCAATGGAAGTAATAGTACCACTCTATCTTGCCTTGGTCAGATGTGGAGTGCTGTGTCCGGTTCTGGGCACCACAATTTAAGAAACATATTGACAAGCTGGGATGTGTGCAGATGAGGGCAACAAAGGTGATCAATGGGCTGGAAACCAAGCCTTATGAGGAATGGTTGAGGAAGTTGGGTATGTTTAGCCTGGAGAAGGGGAGACTGAGAGCAGATACGACAGCCATCTTCAAATATCTAAAGGGCTGTCACATGGAAGATGAGGCAAGCTTGTTTTCTCCTGCTCTGTAGGGTGGGACGCAAACCACAGGGTTTCAAGTTACAAGAAAGGATTTTTCAACATCAGGAAGAACTTTCTGGTGGTAAGAGCTTTTTGATAGTGGAACAGACTCCCTCAGAAGATGGTGGACTCTCCATCCTTGGAGGCTGGATGGGTGTCTGTCATGGGTGCTTTACTTGAGATTCCCTCACTGTAGGTGGAAGGGGCACCAGCTCCTGGGGACTGTGCCCTTTTTGGCCCCAGGCTGGCCTTCTCCCAAAGTCCAGTAAGTGTGGAGGTAAAATACGGAACCAAGCATGGCATGGCTCCAATGGCCAACCCCTTCTCCACTTCCTCCTGCTGTGAGTGGAAGGAGGGCCAGTTGTGGTGCCAGGAGGAAGCGGAGGCAGCAATGACTACCATCACCAACTACAAGTTGCTTTAACTAAGAGGCCCTTTGTGCCATCATTGCCATACTCTTGACACAATGATGCAGAATGCTAGATTACTCTAGGTGCTGCATATTCTACCTTTTTCATAAGAAATCTTCCCTTTTGGACATTGAATACAATCATAGCAGCAAAATGGCTCCCCCTCCTTTTTCTTCTTCTGGTAACCAGGTTGACAGTTGTCGTTACAGAGTGAAAGGGGCATCACCTATTCAGGAAATGTGAATATTTCACATTGAGAATATATATTTATCAAATAGCATGGTAACATCCCTATCCTCATAGAATTATCCTTGGATTCTGTCGTATTAGTGCAGGTGCTCATGAGGTGTTGAGCAGTGTCAGTTGGGATGGTGAGTCAGTCTCTGTATGTTCTGTGTTGGTAGCATTCTCAGTTTCATTAACATACAGTGGTACCTCGGGTTACAGACGCTTCAGGTTGCAGACTCCGCAAACCCAGAAATAGTACCTTGGGTTAAGAACTTTGCTTCAGGATGAGAACAGCAGCAGCACAGCAGCAGCCGAAGGACCCATTAGCTAAAGTGGTACCTCAGGTTAAGAACAGTTTCAGGTTAAGAACGGACCTCCAGAATGAATTAAGTTCTTAACCTGAGGTACCACTGTATAATAATAATATAAAAAAAACTGGGATAAAGACTATAGAAACATCCTTTTAAGGATGCTACAAACAATTGTTTTTCCTCTTCCTCCCTCCTTTTATTTTATGACAGCTAATGGCTATAGTGTTGTCCCACCTGGTTAAAACTTCTAGGCCATACAATGGTGTCTTCATAAATTCTCAAATGTTTGCCATGAGGAGCCCAAGGATTCATTCTTCCAACTTTCATTCTAACAAATGACTTATTGGGGAAAGTAATCAGATTTGTAATATCAAACCCCATTGTCAATTCTCCATTCTCATTCAAGTGCACGATTTCTCCTGCACTGTTGTTAAATGTGATGCTCCTCAGAATATGATGCAGCTAGGTGGAATGGAAAAATAAATCAGTATTAGAATTGTATTAGTATCCAAGAAATTTCCTCTAAACTTGCATCCCATCCCATTTACTTAGATTTGTGGAGGAATATTTGTCGATAGGGTCAAATACACCCCATGTTAAAGCATGCTGTGAACCACACATGCCCTGCCCAACCCTTCTCCTTTCTCAGAGCTTCCTCCCTACAGCATCTTCACTTCCTGCCCTTATGCAAAAATAATAGCTGAAGCTATTTTCATGTTGTCCCTTCTTAAACTGCTTTCAAAGTGTTTAACTTATTATATATACTTGCAGTGTCTGTATGTTAAAGTGCATATTCTTGGGAAAGTATTAACTTGAAGTTAGCCTTTAATTATGTTTTAAATTGCATATTAATTGTGTTCTGCTTTTAAATTATAGTTTTGCTTCATTTTGGTTTGGGAAACAGCCAGAGAATGCCTGCTTCAGGAGGTGATTTTACTGCAGTTAATAAATTAACCCACTTATCCATCTGTAAGCCCCACTGAATTTAATAGGACCTGTGGGTTAAACCACAGAGCCTAGGACTTGCTGATCAGAAAGTCGGCCGTTCAAATCCACGTGAAGGGGTTAGCTCCCATTGCTCGGTCCCTGCTCCTGCCAACCTAGCAGTTCGAAAGCACATCAAAGTGCAAGTAGATAAATAGGTACCGCTCCGGTGGGAAGGTAAACGGCGTTTCCGTGTGCTGCTCTGGTTCGTCAGAAGCGGTGTAGTCATGCTGGCCACATGACCCGGAAGCTGTATGCTGGCTCCCTTGGCCAATAAAGCGAGATGAGCGCCGCAACCCCAGAGTCAGTCACGACTGGACCTAATGGTCAGGGGTCCCTTTACCTTTACTATTTCAGAGTAGGCATGATTAGAAATGCAGCCTAGGGTAGCCACCAGACCCAATAGAACTTGCTTGTTTATGTTGCTACCTTCCCATGACCAGCTATTCGTGTTGAGTCAAGTAATACAACTGAGTCTGGTTTCCTTTAATGACATCCATGATTCTCCTCTTCCACATTTGATTTTCATAACCCTGAGACATATGGTGTCCATGAATAGTCAAAGATCACCCAAAGTGCCGATTTTAGACTCCTATTCCCTAGTCCATTTCATATCCCTCTACATTCTGGAAAGAAGCTGTAGAAGTGAATAAGTTGGGGGGGGTCTTTTTCCATAGGGCTGAAAGTTTTGGA